ATCATTCAAAATTGAAGGGGAAATAAGAAGCTTCACAGACAAAAAAAGGTTAAGGGAGTTTATCACCACCAAGTCAGCAATGCAAGAAATGCTAAAGGGACTGGTGTAAAAACAAGAAATAAAAAGCTAAGAAAGAACACAGGCACAAAAAATAAAAATGGCTACAAACAAGTACCTTACAATAATAACTTTAAACGTGAATGGACTAAATGCTCCTATCAAAAGACATAAAGTGGCTGAATGGATAAAAAAACATGACCCATACATTTGCTGTCTACAAGAGACCCACCTCAGAATAAGGGGCTCACACAGACTGAAAGTGAAGGGATGGAAAAATATCTTTCAGGCAAATGGAAATGAAAAAAAAAGCTGGGGTAGCAATACTTATAATGGACAAGATGGACCTCAAAGTGAAGGCCATAACAAGAGATAAGGAAGGCCACTTCCTAATACTAAAGGGATTGATACAACAAGAGGATATAACCCTGATAAACATATATGGACCCAATGCAGGAGGACCCAAATACATAAAAATAACTCCTGGAAGGTATCAATGGAGAGATAGAGATCAACAACAATACAGTCATAGTAGGGGACTTTAATACACCACTGACAACACTGGATAAATCCTCTAGACCAGGGGTGGGCAAACTTTTTGACTCGAGGGCCACAATGGGATCTTAAACTGGACCGGAGGGCCGGAACAAAAGCATGGGTGGAGTGTTTGTGTGAACTAATATAAATTCAAAGTAAACATCATTACATAAAAGGGTACGGTCTTTTTTTTCAATAGTTTTATTCATTTCAAATGGGTCGGATCTGGCCCGCGGGCCATAGTTTGCCCACGGCTGCTCTAGACAAAAAATCAGCAAAGAAACAGCAATTCTAAATGACTCACTAGACCAGATGGACTTAATTGACATCTTCAGAACACTTCACCCCAAAGCCGCGGAATATACGTTCTTCTCAAGTGCTCATGGGACATTTTCAAAAATAGACCACATACTGGGTCACAAGCAAAGTTTCCCCAAATTCAAGAAGATTGAAATCATACCAAGCATCTTCTCAGACCACAATGGCATAATATTAGAAATAAAGTACAATAAAAACAATCCAAAACACTCAAACACTTCGAAGCTGAATAGCATGTTATTAAATATTGATTGGGTTACCAATGAGATCAAAGAAGAACAGGAACAAGACAGGGATGCCCACTCTCACCACTCCTGTTCGATATAGTACTGGAAGTATTAGCCATTGCGATTAGACAGGAAGAAGAAATAAAAGGCATCCAAATTGGAAAAGAAGAAGTAAAACTGTCCTTATTCGCAGATGACATGATATTGTACATAAAAAACCCTAAAGACTCCATCAAAAAACTATTAGACGTAATAAATGAATTCGGCAATGTAGAAGGATACAAAATTAATGCCAAGAAATCTATGGTATATCTATACACCAATAGTGAACTTACAGAAAGAGAGACTAAAAAAGCAATTCCATTTACCATAGCACCAAAAGAATTAAGATACCTAGGAATAAACTTAACTAAAGAGGTAAAAGACATCTACTTAGAAAACTACAGGACGTTGAAAATAGAGATAGAGGAAGACATAAACAGATGGAAGAACATACCATGTTCTTGGATTGGTAGAATCAACATCATTAAAATGTCCATACTACCCAAAGCAATCTATAAATTCAACGCACTTCCCATTAAAATACCAACGGCATATTTCACAGACCTAGAAAGAACTCTCCAAAAATTCATCTGGAATAAAAAAAGACCCTGAATAGCTGCAGCGATCCTGAGAAAGAAGAACAAAGTAGGTGGGATCTCAATACCAGATATCAAGCTGTATTACAAAGCCACTGTTCTCAAAACTGCCTGGGCACAAGAACAGACATATAGATCAATGGAATAGAATAGAGAGCCCAGAAATCAACCTGAACCAATATGCTCAATTAATATTTGACAAAGGAGGCAAGAACATACAATGGAGTCAGGACAGTCTCTTCAATAAATGGTACTGGGAAAATTGGACAGATACATGCAAAAAAATGAACCTAGACCACCAACTTACACCATACACAAAAATAAACTTAAAAGGGATAAAGTACTTAAATGTAAGACGGGAAACCATAAAAATACTAGAGGAGCCCTAACCGGTTTGGCTCAGTGGATAGAGCGTCGGCCTGCGGACTGAAGGGTCCCAGGTTCAATTCTGGTCAAGGGCATGTACCTTGGCTGCGGGCACATCCCCAGTGGGGGGTGTGCAGGAGGCAGCTGGTCAATGTTTCTCGCTCATCGATGTTGCTGACTCTCTATCCCTCTCCCTTCCTCTCTGTAAAAAACCAATAAAATATATTTAAAAAAATACTAGAGGAATCCAAAGGCAACAAAATCTCAGACATATGCCGAAGCAATTTTTTCACTGATACAGCTCCTAGGGCATTGGAAACTAAAGAGAAAGTAAACAAATGGGACTACATCAAAATAAAAAGCTTATGCACAGCAAAAGAAACCATCAACAAAACAACAAGAAAGCCCACTACATGGGAAAACATATTTGCCAATGTTATCACCGATAAGGGTTTAATCTCCAACATTAAAGGACCTAAATAGACACTTTTCAAAAGAGGACATCCAGAAAGCCAAGAGACATATGAAAACATGCTCAAAGTCACTAATCATCCGAGAGATGCAAATCAAAACGACAATGAGGTACCATCTCACACCTGTCAGAATGGCTATCATCAACAAATCAACAAACGACAAGTGCTGGAGAGGATGTGGAGAAAAAGGAACACTCGTGCACTGCTGGTGGGAATGCAGACTGGTGCAGCCACTATGGAAGACAGTATGGAGTTTCCTCAAAAAACTGAAAATGGAACTCCCGTTTGACCCTGTGATCCCACTTCTAGGAATATATCCCAAGAAACTAGAAACACCAACCAGAAAGGATATATGCACCCCTATGTTCATAGCAGCACAATTCACCATAGCTAAGATCTGGAAACAGCCTAAGTGCCCATCAGCAGATGAATGGATTAGAAAACTGTGGTACATCTACACAATGGAATACTATGCTGCTGTAAAAAAGAAGGAATTCTTACCATTTGCAACAGCATGGATGGAACTGGAGAGCATTATGCTAAGTGAAATAAGCCAGTCAATGAAAGAAAAATACCACATGATCTCACTCATTTATGGATAATAAAGGCCATTATAAACTGATGAACAAAAATAGATACAGAGGCAGAGCAGCCTCGAACAGACTGTCAAACTACAGTGGGAAGGCTGGGGAGGGTTGGGGGGCGGGAGGGGGTAGTAAGAGATCAACCGAAGGACTTGTATGCATGCATATAAGCATAATCAATGGACACAAGACACTGGGGGATATGGGAAGGTGGGGGAATGGCAAGGGGGGTAAAAAAAAAGGAGACACATGTACTACTCTTTGTAATACTTTAAGCAATAAAACAAAATTTAAAAAAAAAAGAAAATAGAAATGAAATCTGTCATTTTAACATCCACTGAAAACATCGATAACAGCTTACATCCTTCTCTCTTTCTACAAGTTGCCTAGCTCTGTCCACACAGAGAGCCCAGAGTGGTGACAACCCAGGGCCAGTGGGTGTGCTCCAGCACCCAGCCGAGGGCCTCCGAAGGCTCCCAACAGCCGAGAGTTGGTGAGAGGCACTGGATCTGCGCAGTCTGAGCAACAAGAAAAGACTGACTGCAGCCCTGGCCAGTGTGGTTCAGCTGGTTGGGCGGCATCCCATACACAGGGCACAGGCCCGGTGTTGAGCTCGACCCCCGTAGGTGGTGTGCAGGATCCATGTTTCTCTCTAACATCGATGTTTTTCTCTTCTTCTTCCTTCCTTCCTGTCTAAAAATATTTTTTAAAAATGGATGTCATAGATGAAAACTTATTAAAAATAGCAAAATTCATGGGTTTCTACTGATATCGAAAAACATAAACTTCTCTGGTTCCCTCTAGGGCAGCCGTGGGCAAACTGCGGCCCACGGGCTGGATCCAGCCCATTTGAAATGAATAAAACTATTGAAAAAAAAGACCGTACCCTTTTATGTAATGATGTTTACTTTGAATTTATATTAGTTCACACAAACACTCCATCCATGCTTTTGTTCCGGCCCTCCGGTCCAGTTTAAGAACCCATTGTGGCCCTCGAGTCAAAAAGTTTGCCCACCCTGCTCTAGGGGGTGCTGGGCACTAATTTCTTATCTGGAAAATAACTGAACAGTTATCCTGCTTTTACTAACTACATAATTGATGAAATTCTGTTTTTATGGAAGAATCAAAGGTAGTAAGAGAATGAAATGAAAACAAAAATTATTCTATCTACTACTAGCAACAGATGGTCAGTAAGCAGCATAGCTGTGAGAATAATGCCTTAAAAGTGCACGCAGCCATGTTAACCATTATCGTTATTTATTTCAAAGGGGAATGAGAAAGGGACTGAGCATGATGGGGCGGAAGGGGTCGCTGCACTACGAAGACTTGGCGGCACCAACTCCCAGGCCTGTCCCAGCTGCTCAGCAAGAGGAAGAGTTGAAAGCATGCGACTCTGCCCACCAGCGGTGCCATCTACTCTCCCTCCTGAGCCTGGTCTGAGCAGCGTGTGGCGGGAGTGAGGGTCCACAAGGCCAGAGCTCCCACAGACCATCTGAGACAATCATGAGGGAGGCCAGGCAGCGGCTGGAGGGTACAGCCCCTGGGCAGGGAGGTGGCACAGCCCACAGCAGCACAGCCTGACAGCAGAACAGTCCCATCTCGGCACCCCCTTTTGCTCAGTGGGCAAGTCACTTAGCTTCCTGCGGCCTTGGTTTTCCAATATGTGAAACAATAGTAGCAAAATCCATAGGGTTATTGTGAAGATTAAATAAGATTATATCGACAAAAATTCATAGAAGGGTTCATGGCACGTGGATTACTTTGTAATATTGAATAGGATAGGTGCCTCCCATATTTTACCGTGAACTGTCTTCAGGATAACGCTGTCCTACTGCTTCTTGGAGCTGGACGTTAAGAAAAGACACATTTTGCCAGGTTTCCTTTTCTCTTATTTTATCAAAAATTGATGTGTAGAAGTCATACATGGTATCTCCACCCTCCATCAAAAAAAAATTCCTCATGGCCTGCAAGTACTCCACCAACCTGAAGAGAGAGAAAATGAGCAACACGAGCCAGGACTCTCCATCAGTCATAGGCTTGTATGCTACCATTTCCAGTGGAACAGGTTTCCATGCCACAGTGAGTAAAACCAGAGACACTAATGCCTCTTAAATACATTGTTAATAACAAAAATAGCATGTGCTTTATTTTAATAATCAGAAAGTTATTTTTCCATCACGTAGAACACTGGGCAGCCACAAAAGTGTAATAAAAAATAGTGAATACAGCCCTGGCTGGTGCGGCTCAGTCGGCTGGGCATCATCCCATACACTGAAAGGGTGCAGGTTTGATTGCCAGTTGGGGCACATACAGGAGGCAACTGATCAATGTTTCTCTCTCTCTCTGTCTTTCTCTCTCCCTCCCACCACCCCTCATCTTCTAAAAAATCAATGAAAACATATCCTTCGGTGAGGATTAAAAAAAAAAAAAAAGTGAATCCAAATCCTACTATTCATAGTGAATTTCCACTGTTAATATTTGGGGTATTTCTTCCTAGTCTTTTTTCTATGCATTAAAAAATATATAGTCCTCATTATATAGCACTAGAGGCCCGATGCATGAAATTCGTGCAAGAGTAGGCCCTCACAGCCCTGCTTTGTCCAGAAGGTCATCCGGACGGTCATTCCACTGTTTGGCTGTTTGGTTGATTTGCATATTACGCCTTTATTATTATAGATATCCTGCTTTTTAAGTTTTAAGAACAAAATATGTCATTAAATACTCTGTATAAACATTATTTGTATGAACTTTACAAAATTCACACATGATATGAATATGGCATATTTATAGATATGCCATAATTTAAAGAACTGGTAATTTCATGTTTTTTACTCTGATAGCAAATTTTGTGACGGGCATTTTGTGCAAAAGGCTTTATCTGTTTTTCTTTTGGGATAGCATCTCAGAAACAAAAAATTAAATTTCACAACATAGTTAAGAAAACATTAATGTTTAATTGATTCTTTCAAAAGAAAATTGTTTACTGCATAACTATTTCCTACTCTAATAAAACTTAACTTGAAATACAGGTTTTAAAATAACCTCAACTGTTCTTAAAGTACAATAAACTACAGACTACTTCCAAAACTGAACTCCTTTATACCTGTAATCTTTTTTCAGCGTTTGCATGAGGTTTCCACAGCAATCTAGATACTGCTTGTCAATATGGGGATAGAGGCAAGATCTCAGCGTGAATTCAAACGTCTGGCACGTCACAGATTCCGAGGATCTATCCATACATACATCTCCACCAGCAAACTTCTCGTGAAAGTCACTCTGTTCCAAATACAACCTTTACACACACAAAAAAATGAGACTTCTTTTTAAGAGCAGCTGTCAAGAGAATTTTCTTAAACTCCAGAGTACCATTTTGATTGTTAGTCTTAAATTACCAACTATTACAGAAAGAGAAAGTCTTTTTCCTCAAAATATACTTTGAGTGGCCCTAGCTAGTTACTCAATGGTTAGAATGTGGGCCCATGGACTGAAGAGTTGCAAGTTCAATTCCAGTCAAGGGCATGTGCCTTAGTTGTGGGCTCGATCCCCGGCCCTGTGTGGGAGGCAACCAATTGATGTGTCTTTCTCACATCCATGTTTCTCTCTCTCTCACCCCTCTCCCACCTCCCTTCCACTCTCTCTCTTAAAAAAAAAGAAAAAAATCAATGGAAAAAATATCCTCGGGTGAGGATAAACAAAACAAAATAAAATACTTTGGGTGGATCAGTTTTTCAAAGTCACTTTTGTCTTTAGGGTCAAGTACTTGTAGCCATTCGGTTGCTGGTAGTGAGTGATGGCCATCAGATGATGAGGGGCACTGTGTTGGTATTAATCCCTAAATGCTTCAAAGAGTCAAGGTGCATTCTGCACATAAGGAAGGTCTAACTCAGTATGTCTGATGTCCGTCCATAACCCAGACTTAAAAAAAATCCTCACCCAAGGACATGCATAGAGGAAGGGAGTGGGGGTGGCGGGGAAGCATTGATGTGGGAAAGAAACATCAATGGGTTGCTTTCCAAACATGCCCTGACTGGGAATTGAACCAGCAACCTTTTTGTGCACAGTACGATGCTCAACCAACTGAGCCACCCAGCCAGGCAGAACCCAGACTTTTTAGAGCATCTCTGGTTCCAGTGACAGCATTCCCTTGGGCCTAGGGCACGTGATGATCTGTGGACTTTCACCAACGTGGAGGCCAAATGAGACACCTGAAATAAGTGAACACAGTATCCTGTATTCCATTCATGAGGTAGGAGAGGCTACAAAGTTTTTATTTTTAAGGCTGGAAAGCCCCACCTAGCAGAAATAAACCATTACTAAATCCTGCACAGATTCTGCTATTTCAACCATCAAAGATGTTGCAGTTGGATTTCACCTGGCAAAGTTGACTGCCAGCAGGGGGTCGTGAGCATCGTCCAGCTCCAGGTGTCGTTCTGCAATGGACTGCATCCTAATGAGGTTCCCCTGGGCTGCCTGCTGTTCAGTGAGGGGCTGTGTACGGGCTTCTTCTCCATGTCGAAGGCGTGACTGCACAGATTCCAGGAAGAGGCTATATAAGCCTTTTCTTCCTGCATCTAAAACATAAAGAAATATGTCAAGTTACTTAATGTTATTAGCCATGTTCTAGTAAATAATATAAGTAGCATTCAGAATTACAGTGGGGCCTTGACTTACGAGTGTCCCGACTAACGAGTTTTTTGAGATACGAGCTGTCTCTCGGCCGATTTTTTTGCTTTGAGTTGCGAGCTAAAATTCGGGTTACGAGCCAGCTTCAGATACCCCACTGCTAGTTGGCGCAGCGAACGTCACAGTGAACGTGTCAGCCCAGCATCATGTGTCTCACGTGTCTCACTCGTTCACTTTATGATTTGACATACGAGTAATTTGAGTTATGAGCTCCGTCACGGAATGAATTAAACTCGTGAGTCAAGGCCCCACTGTATTATGTAACTTTATCTAAATATAGCCTGGTATTTTCCTTTGGATATGACGGTCTATTCGTGTTTCGTTACCTTTAAAATACACTGCCACTAAACATTTTTACATTCTGTCAGACAACTGAAAAATTCATGGTGAGACATTAAAGTGTAACCTAATTTTTTTCTGAACAAGGTAACATCCCTAAACAGGATACTTGAAAGTTAAGTTACTATGATACCGTACAGCACTTTGATAATAACACTAAGGGAAGTCTTAATTTTACTGGAAAAAAACACACTTCTAACAGTGACCTTGAAAAGCTCAAGACATTTTACTATTCATTCAAAAGAGAAATATTACAAAGTGAAAATATTATTGAAGCACATAAAAAAGATATGAGATTTCTGGTCAGGATGCTGGTGTAGGTAAACGCAGTACTTGCTGCCTCCCACAACCACATCAAAATTACAACTAAAATACAGAATCACCATCATTCAGAACCATCCGAAATCTGGCTAAATGGAAGTCCTACAACTAGAGGATTAAAGAAGAAAGCACACTGAGGCTGGTAGGAGGGGCAGAGCCACAGAACAGAGTGGTCTGACACCCATGTGTGGTATTCTTTTAATCAGGAGGGATGTCTTGGTTGTGGAGGTCTATGTGAGAAGCAAGGTGTCCCAGCCCCACACCAGAGCCCTCAGCCAAGGGTTCCAGAGCTGGGAAGAGCATCCCTGTAACTTCAGGCTGTAAAAACCATTGGGGATTATGACTGAGTGACACAGGCTGCTGGTGTCACGGGTGTTCCTCTTAAAGGTTCAGCATATGAACTGACACTGACTTGCTGCCTCTGAGCTCCAGCGCTGGGGCAGTAGCTGGAAAGGTGCAGGAGATATGGGGAGGAACTGAATTGTTTGGCATCAGGGTGGGAACTGGGGGGGAGCATTCTCCTAGACAGGGGTGCTGTCATTGTTCCTATGCTGAGCCCTCCCCCAACAGAGCCTGCAGACAGGCCTCATATCTGAGTCTCCATAAACCTTGCTCACACTCTTCACCCCACCCTGGTGACTCCCTGAGATCCTACCCCATACAATTTTCAGCCTGAATCCAAGCTGTTGCACTGGTCTTACCAAATGAATAGGCTCTCCAGGCTCAGACTTCACACTTTGCTAAAATCTTTCGAACAAGCAGCAGCTGGCCTCAGCATGTCCCATACCTCTCAATAAGAGGGCCCAGGCCTGGCACTAGCAAATTTCACAGCATGGCCTCTCCTCAGCAACTCCAAGCCGTAGATAAGTAGCAGCCATCTGCAGATCACTCCGCAGCTCGTGCCAGGTGGTCCTAGGCAGAGCATAGGCAGTAGCTGACTTTGCACCTCCCTGGAGGCCCCAGAACCAGTGCACCCTACAGTGGACAGCTTCATACAACAGCAGATTACAACTCTACACATCTACGAGTGATACACTCAAGGGGCAGACTCAGCGAGCAGCAAAGCCCACTAAAGCAAGTCCTGCTCCATAAGGGTGCCTCCTACACAGCAGCTCTCCCACTGTAGTCGCAGCTGGTCCTCACAGCCTATTGGCCTGGAGGTCAACTCCTCCCAGTGATGCCAACAACAATCAAGGCTCAACTACAGGGTGTGCCGACCTCGAGTGCCCAGCTCAGGTGACTGGGGAGGCTGAGCCACTGGGCCCCACAGGACACCTACTACACAAGGCCACTCTACCAATTCCAGGAGACATAGCAGCTCTACCTAACACATAGAAATAAACACAGGGAGCAGCCAAAATGCGGACACAAAGAAACACATCACAAAAGCAAGGAAACTACTGGATACAGAGTTCAAAACCATGGTTATAAGGTTAGTCAAGGATTTTTATGAGACTTTCAAGGATCTTAGTGAGAATATCAAAGACAGGAAAAAGGACCCATCAGAAACGAAGCATACATTAACTGAAATAAAGAATAATTTACCGGGATTCAACAGTAGAGTAGATTTCAAGAATGAAATAAACGATTTGGAATGTGAGAAAGCAAAAAACTCCCAATCAAAAGAGCAAAAAGAAGAAAGAATCCAAAAATATGAAGATAGTGTTAAAGAGCCTGTGGGACAACTTCAAGCGTACCAACACTTGCATGGGGGTGCCAGAAGAAGATGAGAGAGAGCAAGATATTGAAAACCTATTTGAAAAAATAATGACAGAAAACTTCCCCTACCTGGTGAAAAAAATATATATACAAGTCCAGGAAGCACAGAGTCCCAAACAAGAGGAACCCAAAGAGGCCCACACCAAGACACATCATAATTAAAATGCCGAGGATTAAAGACACAGAGAATCTTAAAAGCAGCAAGAGAAAAGCAGTTAGTTTCCTACAAGGGAGCTCCCATAACACTGTCAGCTGATTTTTCAACAGAAACTTTGCAGGCCAGAGGGAGTGGCAAGATATATTCAAAGTGATGAACAGTGAGGACCTACAACCAAGATTACTCTACCAAGCAAAGCTCTTATTTAGAATTGAGGATCAAATAAATTGCTTCACAAACAAGAAAAGGCTAAAGGAGTTCATCATCACCAAACCAGTGTTACATGAAATGTTGAAGGGTATTTTTAAAAAAAATCTTTATTGTTGAGATTATTATAGATGTCCTTCCTTTTTCCCTCCATAGCTCCCTTCCACCCAGTTCCAACCCCACCCCAGGCCCTCACCACCCTATTGTCTGTATGCATATAAGATCTTTGTCTAATCTCTTCCAGCATCCCCCCCCACAAACCTGCATCCCCCCCACACCCTCTTCCCTCTAAGAATCATCAGTCTTTTCCAATTCTATGCCCCTGATTCTATTCCATTCACCAGTTTATTCTGTTCATCATTTTTTATTCATTTGATTTTTAAATTCACTTGTTGATAGATATGTATCTGTTGTCACTTTGTTGTTCATAATTTTTTATCTTTATCTTCCTCTTCCTGTTCTTAAAGAATACCCTTCAGCATTTCATATAATACTGGTTTGGTTGTGATGAACTCCTTTGGTTTTTTCTTGTCTGTGAAGCTCTTTATCTGACCTTCAATTCTAAATGATAGCTTTGCTGGGTAGAGTAATCTTGGTTGTAGGTTCTTGCCATTCATCACTTTGAATATTTCTTGTCACTCCCTTCTGGTTTGCATAGTTTCTGTTAAGAAATCAGCTGACAGTCATATGGGCACTCTCTTGTAGGTAACTATTTTTCTCTTACTGCTTTTAAGACTCTCTCTTTGTCTTTTGCCCTTAGCATTCTAATTATGATATGTCTTGGTGTAGTCCTCTTTGGATTCCTCTTGTTTGGGGTTCTTTGCACTTCCTGGACTTGTAAGTCTATTTCTTTCACCAGATAGGAGAAGTTTTCTGTCATTATTTCTTCAAATAGGTTTTCAATGAGTTGCTCTCTCTCTTATTCTAGCACCCCCATAATTTGGATGTTGGTATGCTTGAAGTTGTCCCAGAGGCTCCTTACACTATCTTCATAGTTTTGGATTCTTTTTTCTTTTTGTTCTTCTGGTTGGGTGTTTTTTGCTTCCTCTTATTTCAAATCATTGACTTGATTCTTGGGATCCTCTAGTCTACTGTTGAATTCCTGCATGTTATTCTTTATTTTAGTCAGTGTATGCTTAATTTCTTACTGGTACTTTTCCATTTTTTTGGCATTCTCACTAAGATCCTTGAAGGTCTCCCTAATTCCCTTGCAGGTTTCTAGAAGACTCTTGAATAACCTTATAACTGTGGCTTTGAATTCTATATCCAGTAGTTTGCTTTCTTACATTTCTTTCATTTGTGACATGCTTCTTTGTCTCGCCTTTTGGCTACTTCCAGTATTTGTTTCTATGTATTGGATAGAGCTGCTAAGTCTCCTTGAGTTGATAGAGTGGCCTTGTGTAGTAGGTGTCCTATAGGGCCCTGTGGCTCAGCCTCCGCAATCATCTGAGGTGGACACTCTTGGTGCATCCCTTTGTGTGCTGTGTGCAGTCTTGTAGTTGAGCCTTGACTGCTGTTGGTGTCACTGGGAGGAATTGACCTCCAGGCCAATTGGCTGTGGGGACCAGCTGCGACTACAGTGAGAGAACTGCTGTGCAAAAGACACCCTTATGGGGCAGGACTTGCTTCATTGGGGCTTTGGTGCTCACTGAGTCTGCCCCTTGAGTGTGTCACTTATGGATGTGAAAAGTTGTAATCTGGTATTGTCTCACATTGACCACTGCATACACTGACTGGGTCTTGGGTCTCCAGGGAGATGCAAAGCCAGCCACTGCCTGGGGCCACCCAGCAGGAGCTAGAGAGATCTGTATATTCCTCTTCTTTGTATCTGGTTTGGAAGTGTCCAAGCAAGGCCCAGCTGTGAAGCAAGGCAGGCTGGTGCTGGTACTGGCCTTGGGTCTTTTATTGAAAGCTTTGGAAGCTCCCAGACCCAGCTGCAGCTTGTTTGACAGGTTTGAGGCTGAGAAAGGACAGGCCATTCATATGAAAATGTCACTGTGCACAACTTGCGTGGGGTTGTAAATTGGTTGGGGCGAGGTCTCAGGGAATCTCCAGGGTGGAACAAACAGAAATGGCTGCTAGTCAGCCCTGCACCCAGGGAGGTCCCAGCACGGGAACAATGACCACTGCAAGCACCTCCATCTGGAATAAAGCAGCCCCTGAGTTCCTGCCCTGATACCAGACAGGCCAGTTTCTCCCCGTATGTATCTCGGTCCCCCAGAGCCTCACCCAGCACTGGAGCTCAGAGGAAGTGGGAGCTTGTAAATTCAGTTCGCGGTGCTGGCCTTTTAAGAGGAGCAGCTGGGTCTCCAGCAGCCTGTGTGTCACTCAGCCCCAATCCGTACTGGTTTTTACAGTCCGTAGTTCTTACTGCCTGTAGGGACTTCTTTCCCCAGCTCTGGAACCCTGGGCTGGGGGTCTGGTGTGCGGCTGGGATGGCTCACTCCTCCGGGCAGCCTCCACAGAGGTGATCTCCTCCCGATTAAAAAAGCAGCTCACCCGGGTGCCAAACCAGCCCGTTCCGTGCCTCCGCACCTCCTACCAGTCTCAGTGCGCTTTCTTCTTTACCTCTCTAGTTGTAGGACTTCCGCTCAGCCAGCTTTCCCAAGGTTCTGGATGGTAGTTGTTCTGTATTTTAGTTGTAATTTTTATGTGATTGTGGGAGGCAGCAAGTACAGGCATTTACCTGTGCTGTCATCTTGGTTCCTTCCAAAAATATTCCTTAAGAAGAGGAAAAATAAGCCGAGCCAGTATGGCTCAGTGGTTGAGTGTTGACCTATGAACTAGGAGGTCACAGTTTGATTCCTGGTCAGGGTATATGCCTGGGTTGTGGGCTCGATCCCCAGTGCGGGGGAGTGCAGGAGGCAGCTGATCAATGATTCTCTCTCATCATTGATGTTTCTATCTCTCTATCCCTCTCCCTTCCTCTCTGAAAGCAATACAAATAAATTTTAAAAAAAGAAGAGGAAGAGGAGGAGGAAGAGATTAAAAATATGAACAATAAAATGGCAACAAATACATATCTATCAACAATTGAATCTAAAAATAAAAATAAATGAACAAGAAATCTAAGGAACAAAATAAACTGATGAATAAAAAAGAATCAGAGGCATGGAAGCATGGAACAGACTGACAAATCTCAGAGGGAATGGGGGCGTGGGAAGAGATTAATCAAAGATCTTACCTATGGACACAGACAGTAGTGTGGTGAAGACCTGGGGTAGGGTGGGAACCGGATGGAGTGGGGCAATGGGGGTAAAAACAGGGACATCTGTAATACTCTCAAGAATAAAGATTTAAAAACAACAAAAAAATTCCCAATGAGGACAAATTTTTTCAATCAGGAGTAGCATAATCTATTCACTTGAAAATTTCCATGTAACTAGAAGTCTTTGATGATTTTCAAACTACACCATTATGTATCTCAGATGACAAAAGTCAAGAAAGCAATTGCCACAATGCTATGGGAGAGGCACAAGGAAAGGGTCCCACCTCTGGCTGTGGCCTGGCACATGGTGCTGTCCCCAACCTGCAGGTGTTTGAGCAGCTGCATGGACTTGCCAGCCATGATGATCTGCTTCAGGACGGGTCTGAGGAAGGACACCATGGTGTGCTGTCGGCTGGAGGGCCCCTGGTCACTGCCAGAACTTGCACTGGCATTATCACTCATTTTTTCTTCATTTTCTGTCTTTTCTGATATACTGTACAGCGTGTACGTCGCATACCAAAAGTCTCTGTGATTTACTGGAACATTTTTGTTTCTATAGAGATTCAAAATAATTTAAATGTTAATTTCCCCCCCAAAACAACAGTATATGTGTTCTAGCTTAGTCATATCATCCAGACATTCCAAAACACAGTAACAGCAATTATTGCTAAAACGAAGCAATGTCCATGAATAACAGGGGATATTTTATCTGACTTCAGTTTAACATGGAAAAGTGAATAAATACACTGAAAAACTGAGGTAAAATCTAACTAAGTAGGAAGTTTCTTGAATTGGAATTAAACAAACTATGATGAATTTGTTCATCTCCTCTGAGGGTAATCTTCAGATTCCACATCTTTTTCCCCACATAGATTCTTAACTGGACTGTTTTTGATTTTTTTAAATACTCGCCCAAGGATATATTTTCCACTGATTTTTAGAGAAAATGGAAGGGAGAGGGGAGAGACAGAGAGAAACACTGATGTGGGAGAGACAGAGAGATACACTAATGTGAGAGAGACACATCAATTGGTTGCCTCCTGCAGGCCCTCAGACCAGAGCTGGAAGCCTGCAATGGAGGTACGGGCCCTTAACCGGAATCGAACCCAGGACTCTTCAGTTTGCAGGCCAATGCTCTATTTACTAAGCCAAACCAGCTAAGGCTGGACTGCTTTTAATAATGAAATGATAGATACTCATCACCATCTAAGAATAGTCAGAATCCCATTTTTACAAAAATTGTCAAAAAAGATGAAACAGAACAGAAGGGACACGAGATTGACTTGAGGAAAGGCTGGCTCCTTTATCTAGCACTGGAAACAGGGCCACCATTCCAGAACTCTGCGGAATCACAGCTGCTCTGTTTGCCCAGGTACATGGACAGCTGTCAATCAAACCTAAACAGTGCACAACTTCAGAGTTGAGATGCGGACGGTTCCACATGGCAGATTCTATTTGGAAAAAACAATTAATTGCAGGGTAGCTAATATGGAGAAATAAATATATTAGAGGCCAATTCTGTAATATTGTCATACTTTTGTCTTACTGATGACTTATATTGGAATGACTGAAGCCTATTGGTTGTTACCTGAACTCATTGTATGAAAAGCAGTGTGCGTTTTACCAGACCAGCCCTTCATGAACACACTATCACTCAAAAATATGATTTGCAAAGAAAAGCTGTGAACTGACATAAACTTGGAAAAATATATTTTGGGGCTGGGACTCAGTGTCTTCTACTCGAATGGACGCAGGTGATTCTAACACAAGACAAAAGATGACGCCTATACCCATGAACCTGTGATTGCCGCAGTTACCTCTGGATGATGAATTCCCGGGCGCAGTCGCATAGGTGGCCGTGCACAATCCACTCGTCCACAATCTGCAGGTATGGCCTCACGGTTTCCACCCAGAGAGAGAAAAGCAGTGAGACCTGTGGAGACAGCGTGCACAGCCCACACTTACAGCACTCTCATCTCTGCATGAAATGAGTTGCAAACATTTCTGAAACACCTTTTTAAATAATTATCAGATTTCTATTGTTTGAAACAAAAAATTAAAAATTAAAAACATGTTATAAGATCCTGACCAAAAAAACTCACCTATATGTGAGATGAGCACATATCTCTAGTCCATACTAGGACCCTCCTGAGAGTGATGGTTACCCAGGGATGATAGGGATACAGTTTCCCTACCTAAATGGTGCAATTAGCAAGATGTCCATTAAGAATGAGGAAATGATTTCATTCTACTATACAAAAAAATTGCATAGCAGCCGAGACTGGTTTGGCTCAGTGGATAGAGCGTCGGCCTGTGGACTGAAGCGTCCCAGGTTCGATTCCGGTCAAGGGTATGTACCTGGGTTGCGGGCACATCCCCGGTGGGGGATGTGCAGGAGGTGGCTGATCGATGTTTCTCTCTCATCGATGTTTCTGACTCTCTATCTCTCTCCCTTCCTCTCTGTAAAAAATCAATAAAAATATATTTAAAAAAAAAAATTGCATAGCAGAAAGAAATTAAGTGCCTTTGGACTAAACTGCAGCACAAAAATGTTGAGAAAACAGTACACCAACAAACTAGGAAATATACCTAAAATATGTACCACCATCCTACTTTCTGTTTCTATGAATCTGACTGCTCTAGGTGTCTGATATCATAGATTAGCATTTTTTTAAAATATATTTTTTAAAATATAATTTCAGAGAGGAAGGAAGAGGGAGAGAGAAACAGAAACATCATGATGAGAAAGAACAATTGATTGGCTGCTTCTTGCATGCCCCTGACTAGGGATTGAGCCCAGAACACAGGCAAGTACTCTGACCGGGAACTGAACTAAGACCTCCGGGTTAATACACTGAGTGGTCAGATTATTATGACCACCCCATCAGTACTTTGTTGGGCCATCTTTTGCCTTCAATACTGCGGTGATTCTTCTTTGCATTGACTCCACGAGATGTTGAAAGGTGATGCGAGGAATCTGACACCATGCCTGATGCCTCTTTTAACTTCGTCCCACAAATGCTCAATTGGATTGAGATCTGGTGGTTGTGGGGCCACCTAAGCAAGGTAAAGTCTCCCTCATGTTCTTGAAACCACTCCTGCACAATACGAGCAGCGTGGCATGGCGCATTGTCTTGCTGGAAGAAGCCATCTCCATTGGGATACGCCAGCAACATGATAGGATGAACTTGATCAGCAACGATACTTAGGTAGGTTGTGCTATTCAGACGTTGTTCCACACGAATTGAAGGGCCCAAATCATGCCAGGAAAACATGCCCCAAACCATAACACTGCCCCCACCAGCTTGAAGGGTTGTACTCATGCATGTGGGGTGCATGCTTTCATGCTGTTTCTGCCAAATTCTCACTCTGCCATCTGCATGATGCAACTGGAAATGTGATTCATTGGATCACATGACTTTTTTCCAATGCTTGACTGTCCAATCCTTGTGTTCCTGTGCGAATTGGAGATGTTTTATCTTGGTAACTGCAGACAGCAAAGGTGTTCGAACAGGCCTTCGCTTCCATATCCCATATGATGCAGTGTTCGGCTAATTTGCCTACAAACGTCAGGTGGACATAATAATCTGGCCACTCAGTGTAGATAAGTGGTTCTCAACCTTGGCTGCACATTACAATCACCTGGGAATCTTTTTAAAATCCTGATTTCTGGGCCTCATCCTCCAGAAATTCTGTTTCTTTGTTATGGGGTGAGGCTAGGTCATTCCCTCATGCTGCAGAGGACATTGTTCGCAGCAAACCTTTGCAATTCAGGCAGTTTTGCTTGGAGGGAAGACAGCTGATCCACACTATTGGAAAACACCATGCCCTATGTGTGGAGTTTATGAGGTCCATTATGAGACTGAGAATAACAGTAAGTCTCCAGGCAGAAGCAACTGCCCCATCCTGTTGGGAAACCTCACGCCCCACCTCTGGACGACTAACTGATGGCTACTCAAGACTGAACTCAATTAGTCTGCAGGCAGTGGAGAGTCTCTGGAGGCTTTGCATCTTTGTCTAATCTAATTAGTCAGAAATAGCATCTGACACTGTCCTGACCAAGAGACTGAGAAGTGTAGAGGAGTAGCAGATGTTCCTTATACATAGTCACAAACCTTAACAGGCAGCCAAACTAGGGGGTCAGAAAAACAATCCCCAAATGAAAGAATAAGAGAAATTCTCCAGAAGAGATAAATGAGATGTAGATAAGAAACTTACCTGATACAGAGTTCAGAATAATGGCAAAGATGCTCAACAGCATGAGAAAAGATATAGTAATTATGAAAAAAAGAACAAGTGTAAATAAAGTATGACATAGAAGACATTGGAAAGAATACACAGCAGACTAGCAAAAGCTGAGTATTAGATCAGTGACTTAGAAGACAGGAAAGAAAAAAATCACTCAATCAGAGAACCAAAAAGAGAAAAAACAAAATACAGGGGGGACAGCTTAAGGGAGCTGTGGGACAACATGAAATGCAACAATATTCGCATGATAGGTGTGCCAAAAGGGAAAGAAAGGGAGCAAGGAACAGATAATATGTTTGAAGAAATAATGGCAGAAAACTTCACTAGCTTGGTAAAGGAAAAAGTCACACAAGCTCAGGAGCCACAGAGAATCCCAAGAAAAAAGAACCCAAACAGGACCATGCCCAGACACATCACAATGAAGACGCCAAATTAAAGACAAAGAGAGAATTTTAAAGGCAGCAAGAGAAAAGCAATTTGATACCTACAAAGGAGCTGCCGTATAAGGCTGTCAGCTGATTTCTCTTCAGAAACTCTATAGGCCAAAAGAAAATTGCATGAAGTACTCAAGGTAATGGAAAGCAAGGATCTGAAACCAAGATTACTACATCCATCAAGTCTATCACTCAAAATAAATGGTGAAATAAAGAGCTTCCCAGACAAAAAAAGGCTAAAGGAGTTCATCACCACCAAGACAGCATTACAAGAAATGCTAAAGAGACTGCTATGAGAAGAAGAAATAGAAATCTAGGCATACAGAATTTAAATGGCAATAAATAAGTATCTATCATGATAACCTTAAATGTAAATGAATTAAGTGCTCCAATCAAAAGACATTGGGTAGCTGAAAAAACATGGATAAAAAAACATGACCCAACTATATGCTGTCTACAAGAGGCCCACCTCAGAACAAAAGACTGACACAGGACTAGAGTGAAGGAATAGAAAAAATTTTTCATGCAAATGGAAACAAACAAAAATAGCGGGGGTAGCAATACTCATATCTGAAAAAATAAACTCAAAATGAAGGCCATCACAAGAGACAACAAAGGTCACTACATGATACTAAAGGGACTGATACAACAGGAGGATATAACCTTGGTAAACATTTATGCACTCAATATATAAGCACCAAAATACATAAAAAAAAACTTCTAGAGGACTTTAAGGAAGAGACTGACAACAATACAGTCATAGTAGGGGACTTTAACCCCACTGACTTCACTGGATAGATCTTCCAGACAAAAAATTAACAAGCAAACAGTGACTCTAAAGGACACACTGGATCAGATGGATTGAATTGACATTTATAGAACATTTCATCCCAAAGCAGCAGAATATACATTCTTCTCAAGTGCACATGGATCATTCACAAAGATAGACCACATGTTAGGACCCAAAACAAGTCTCTACAAGTTCAAGAAGATTAAAATCATATCAAACATCTTCTCAGATCACAGTGGAATGAAATTACAAATCAACTACAGTAAAAAACACCCCCAAACATTCAAACACATGGAGGCTAAATAGCATGTTATTAAACAATGAATGGGTTGCCAATGAGATCAGCAAAGAAATAAAAAACTTCCTGGGAACACACAACAAACAAAAACCTCTGAGACACAGAAAAAGCAGTCCTGAGAGAGAAGTTCATAGCACTACAAGCATACCTCAAAAAACAAGAAATATTAATAATTAACTATTTAACACCAACAACTTAAAGAATTATAAAGAGAATAATAATAGCCCAGAGTAAATAGGAGGAAGGCTATAATAACTATTAGAGCAGAAGTAAATTATATAGAGACTAAAAAAAAATACAAAAAAAAATAAATGAAAAAAAGAGCTGGTTCTTTGAAAAGATAACCAAGATTGATGAACTGTTAGCAGACTCATTAAGAAACAAAGAGCGAGGACTCAAATAAATAAAATCAGAAATGAAAGTAGTAAGGTAAACACTGACACCAAAGAAATACAAATAATTATAAGCAAACACTATGAACAACTAAATGCCAACAAGCTGGACAATGTGGATGAAATGGAGAAATTCCCAGAAAAATACATTCTCCTGAAACCGAATCAGGAAGAATCAGAAAACTTGAATAGGCCAATAACAACTGAGGAAATAGAAGCAGTAATAAAAAAACTCCCAGCAAACAATTTAAGTCCGGATGCTTCACAGGGGAGTTTTACCAAACATTCAAAGAAGATCTAATAACTATCGTCCTCAAACTATTTCGGAAAATCCAAGAGGAAGGAACACTTCCAAACACTTTTTATGAGGCCAGCATAATCTTAATTCCAAAACCAGATAAAGACACTACAAAGGAAGAGAATTACAGGCCAATATCCTTGATAAACCTAGATGCTAAAATCCTCAACAAAATGTTAGCAAATTGGATCCAGCATTACATTAGAAAGATCATACACCATGACCAAGTGGCATTTATTCCAGGGATACCCACTTTCACCGCTCTTATTCAACATAGCACTGGAAGTCCTAGCCACAATAATCAGACAAGAAGAAATAAAGGCATCCAAATTGTAAAGGAAGAAGTGAAAATCTCATGATATGATATTGGACATAGAAAACCCTAAAGACTCCACCAAAAAAGTACTATGTTTAATAAATGAATTTGGCAATGTAGCAGGATACAAAACCAACACCCCAAAATTGATGCCTTTTTTATACACCAATAATGAATTTCCAGAAAGAGAAACTAAACAAACAATCCCATTTACCATCGCAACAAAAAAAATTAAGGTACTTAGGAATAAACTTAACCAAGGAGGTAAAAGACCTGTACTCAGAAATCTACAGTATATTGAAAAAAGAGACAGAGAAGATATAAACAAGTGGAAGAATATACTGTGTTCATGGACTGGTAGGATTAACATTAAAATGTCCATACTATACATGGTAATCTACAGATTCAATGCAATCCCTATTAAAATAACAACAGCATATTTCACAGATCTAGAATAAATACTTCAAACATTTATATGAAACTAAAAAAGATCTCAAATAGCTGCAGCAATCTTCAGAAAGAAGAACAAAATTGGAGGAATCACAACACCAGATTTCAAGTTTACTCTAAAGCAGTGGTTCTCAACCTTTCTAATGCCGCGACCCTTTAATACAGTTCCTCATGTTGTGGTGACCCCCAACCATAAAATTACTTTCGTTGCTACTTCATAACTGTAATTTTGCTACTCTTATGAATCGTAATGTAAATATCTGATATGCAGGATGTATTTTCATTGTTACAAATTGAACATAATTAAAGCATAGTGATTAATCACAAAAACAATATGTAAGTACATATGTGTTTTCTGATGGTCTTAGGTGACCCCTGTGAAAGGGTCGTTTGAACCCTAAAGGGGTCGCGACCCACAGGTTGAGAACCGATGCTCTAAAGCTCCTGTGCTCCAAAGAGCCTGGTACTGACACAAAACAGGCATACAGATCAATGGAATAGAACAGAGACCCCAGAAATTGACCCAAGCCATTACACTCAATATTTGACAAAGGAGGCAAGAGCATACAATGGCGTCAAGACAGTCTTTTCAATAAATGGTGTTGGGAAAATTGGAAAGATACATGCAAAAAAATGAAACTAGACCACCAACTCACACCCTACACAAGAATAAACTCAAAATGGATACAGGACTTAAATGTATGTAGTGAAACCATAAAAATCCCAAAAGAAACCATAGGCAGCCAAATCTCAGACATCTCTTGTAGCAATATGTTTATTAATACATCTCCTAGGACAAAAGAAACTAAGGAGAAAATAAACAAATGGGACTACATCAAAATAAAAAGCTTCTGCACAGCAAAAGAAACCATCAACAAAATGAAAAGAGAGCCCACTGTATGGGAGAACATATTTGGCAATGATACATTTGATAAAGGGTTAATATCCAAAATATATAAGGAACTCACAACTTAACAAAAGGAAGACAAACAATCCAATAAAAAAATTGGCAAAGGATCTAAATAGACACCTCTCCAAAGTGGACATACAGACAGCCAAGAGACATATGAAAACATGCTCAAAGTCACTGATCATCAGAGAGATGCAAATCAAAACGACAATGAGGTATCATCTCACTCCTGTCAGAATGGCTATCTTCAACAAATCAACAAATGACAAGTGCTGGCGAGGATGCGGAGAAAAGGGAACCCTAGTGCACTGCTGGTGGGAATGCGGACTGGTGCAGCCATTATGGAAAACAGTATGGAGTTTCCTCAAAAAATTGAATATGGAACTGCCATTTGACCCAGTGATCTTACTTTTAGAAATATATCCTAAGAAACCCAAAACACCAATCAGAAAGAATGTATGCACCCCAATGTTCATAGCAACACAATTTACAATAGTGAAGATCTGGAAACAGCCCAAGTGCCCATCAGTAGGTGAGTGGATAAAAAAGCTGTAGTACACTTATACCATGGAATACTATGCAGCAGTAAAAAAGAAGGATCTCTTATCTTTTGAGACAGCATGGAGGGACCTGGAGAGTATTATGCTAAGCGAAATAGGTCAGTCAGAGAAAGACAATTATCACATGATGTCACTCACATGTGGAATGTAATAAACAAAATAAAGTAATGAATGGAGTGGATATAGAGACATGGAAGCATGGAACAGACTGAGGAATCTCAGAGGTAAGGTGGTGGGGCTGGGTGAGTGGGAGGTAATCAACCAAGGACCTTGTATGCATATATGCATGGCCCATTAACGTAGACAATAGGGTGGTGAAGGCCTGGGATGAGGGGCTGAGGTGGGCTGGTGGGGTCAATGAGGGAAAAAAGGGGACATGTAATACTTTCAACAATAAAGATTAAAAAAAAATGGTTATTGCAAATATCTATGTAATTTAGCTAGGTATTTTTCACATCTTGTTTTATGTTTTGCTTTGTCCTTTCCTCATCCTTTTGGTGATCATGGCAACTATAACTTAGAAGCTAATTTAAAAACCCTGCACAAGTGTCTGGCACAGCATGACTTAAGCACTGTTTTTACAAAAGCTGTGAAAGCTGTGCACCACTCCCTTAGCTGGCAGGATAGAACCACACACTTTAGACTAGATGAGGGCCCACGTACGGTTTGCTCAGAGGCTTCTCCAACATCGTCATATTCAAGAATGGCCTTGTATAGGGTGTTAAGCAGGTGAGATGCCCGCACGACATTCCGAGTGTCCGGTGGGACTTCTGCTATGCCAGTGCTAAAGACTTTGTGCAGAACCTTCAGCTGAGCCAGTCGAGGCGACAACTTGTCCACTACTATGGCAAGAGTTATTGTCGTATCTGCAAATATCAAGAAATCAAACTCATTAGCCAGGAAAAATATGCTTTCAAATGTGTTCAGCCATTATGGAAAGGCAGAGCCAACAGAGGATGCTGGATTTTCATCTTGTATCACAAATGATTCATTTTCCTAAAGAAATTATTTCCTAAAGGGAGAAAAAAAAGCAGAAAAATAATGTATAAAGGAACTGACAGAAACACAAGTGATTCCTAAACATATAGAAAGATACTCAATCTCACTTGTAATAAAAGAATACAAACTAAAACTACATTGTGGGAAAAAAATTCCAGACTACAATGGGATACTATTTCAGTGAGGGGATGGTGGGGTGACTGACTACAGAGGGGGAGCAAGAGCAAGTCCCTTTATGGGGATGGCACAACTCTGAGTCCCAAACATGGAGGTGATTATGTGAATCTACACACGCGACAAAATGTTGCCGACTGCACACAGGTACTACTAGCTCCTCCCCGCTCCCAACAAAAAAGCAAGTATCTGCAAACTGGTGAAACCCACATCAGGTCTGTAGATTGGTTAATCAATATGCCATGCCAATTTCCTGGTTTGGTAACAGACTGTAGTTATGTAACCCATTGAGGACGTGGGGTGATGGGAACACAGGACTCAGCACTACCCTGTGCAGTAGTTGTAAAGAAAAGTTGAGAAGGAAACCGACACTGGGTCACCATTTCACACCTGTCATATTGGTATCAAAAAGTTTGATAACACACTGTTGGCAAGACTATGAGGAAACAGGTATTCATATATACTGCCTGGAAGAATGAAGTTACTTATCTGTACTATTGAACAATGTGGCAGAATCTATCAAAATTACACATGCCATAAGACCTCCTTGGCCCAGCACTTCCACCCTTACACATTGCGAACCAGTAGTTTTACTGCTAGCTTTACCCAGTGGCCAGATAAGTTTCTATTGAACAAGTACAAAAAACATCCTATGTAATAAAGACCTAACATGCACATGGTCATCACACCCTCACACCCTCCTGCCAGAACTGCTCAGACACTTAACACTGAAGAGAGAGGAATGGGGACCAGCCAGGCACAAATGAGTTGGGGAGAGAGGATTGGGGACCAACCAGGCACAAATGAGCTGGGGAGAGAGGATTGGGGACCACCAGGCACAAATGAGCTCAGGAGAGAATGGGGACCAGCCAGGCACAAATGAGCTCGCAAGAGAGGAATGGGGACCAGCCAGGCACAAATGAGCTCGCAAGAGAGGAATGGGGACCAGCCAACCTGCTGCCTGGGAGAGGGACAAGCTGCTTGCCCCACGGTCCTGGGCACCTGTGGCTTCAGTTGGCCCAGGTGAAGCCAGCCTGGATCCTGGTTGCCTGCAGCTGGCCAGAGGGAGGGAAGCCCAGGTCGCGGGTGCCTGCGATGGGCCAAAGAAGGGAATCCTGGGTCCTGGGTGTGGGGTGAGGCAGAGGTGGTTAGGGGTGATCAGGCAGGCAGGCAGGTGAGCGGTTAGGAGCCAGCGGTCCCAGATTGTGAGAGGCAGTCGGACATCCCCAGAGGGGTCCCGATTTGGAGAGGGTGCAGGCCGAACTGAGGGACAACCACCGTGCATGAATTTTGTGCACCAGGCCTCTAGTTTTACAGAAATGTTAAAGGTAAGCTTTAACATTAAATACCCACTGCATTTTGAAGTTACTGATTACATGTTCTTACAAGCTAATATCTTTTTAAAGTATGATAATTTGTAAAACACTGTGTAATATGAAAACATGAGAATTCTCGTGATCTGTCTGCAATGTGTTAAGAATTTATGCTATAGATAACTTGCTGCACACGTGCACTGTGAATTATACATAAGAGGTTATCACTGCAGTAGTTGGCAATAGCAAAGGATCAGAAACAACCTAAATGTCCACCAAAAGGGGCCTTGGCTAGTAGCTCAGTTGGTTAGAGCATTGTTCTGATACACCAAGGTTGCGGGTTCGATCTCCGGTCAGGGCATATACAAGAAGCAACCAACAAATGCATGGATGGGTGGAACAAATCAATGTTTTTCTCTTTCCCTTCCTCTCTCTCTCTCTCAAATCTATATATTAAAAAAATAAAAAATAAAAATGAGGAGGCTCTTTATATACTTACTAGAGGCCCAGTGCATGGATTCATGCACAAGTGGGATCCCTCGGCCTGGCCTGTTGGGATGGGGCTGAAACTGGCTCTCCGACATCCCCCAAAGGGTCCCAGATTGCGAGGGCAGTTCTTGGGTGATGCAGACCGGAATTGGGCTCCCTCCTCTCTGGTTCCTAGTGCGTCACCTGAGAACCACAGCTGCCAAGTCACAGTTCAGCAGCTCCTGCATTGAGCGTCTGCCCTCTGGTGGTCAGTGCGCATCATAGCTATTGGTTGAATGGTTGGCCAGTTGCTTAGGCTTTTATATATATACTAGAGGCCCAGTGCACAACAGCGTGCACTGGGGGGTGTGGGGGTCCCTCAGCCCGACCTGCACCCTCTCCAATCTGGGAGCACTCTCCAATCTGAGAGTTTCTGTCTGTCTTTGCAATCATATGAGTGAATTGTCTGAGACTCCAACTCAGTTTGGTTTGTAGCTCACAGAACAATAGAGGCATTTTTTTTTCTTTGCTTCATTGGTGAAGATTTCCTGGAAGTTTTAGGATATCTTCCCCATAATTTTTCCTAGGCACTCTGATTTTACTTATGTCTCTCACCTTTGTTTTCCCTCCATCCCCCACTGCAACAGTTACTTGCTCCAGGCTCACTTTGCTCTAGTGTCTAGGAGATCTGTCTGCCACCAGAACCATGATTCCCAGCATTCCTGGTGCTCCCCGCGCTATGGGCTTCCGGCCCTGGGGCTGCCACCAGAACTACTATTCCCAGAATTCCTGGTGCTCCCCACGCTGCTGGGAACGACCGAGGGAGCCACATCCCCACAAGCCGCAGGCTCTCCCGCTCTGGTCTCTGCCTGGCACATGTGTATGCAAATTAACCTGTCATCTTTGTTGGGTTAATTTGCATACTCACACCTGATTGGCTGGTGAGTGTAGCAGAAGGACGGTCAATTTACATGTTTCTCTTTTATTATATAGGACATATATAGATAAGGTAGTAATCTTTTTTTAAAATATATATTTTTTATTTCACAGAGAGGAAGGGAGGGGGAGAGAGATAGAAACATCAATGATGAGAGAGAATCATTGATTGGATGCCTCCTACACTCCCCTTAATGGGGATCAAGCACACAACCTAGTCATGTGCCCTGACCGGGAATCGAAACGTGATCTCCTGATTCATAGGTCGATGCTCAACCATTGAGCCATGCTGACTGGGCATAAGGTAGCAATCCTAAAAATTTAAATAAGAAATCATTTGAAGGGGGCAGTTCATAGACATCTAGGTATGCATATATGAACAGGCATTGACTACATGTATTTAAGTTCTCTCAGGGAGGGTGTACCAGACACTGATCACTTGGCTGCCTCTAGGGAGAGGAACTGAGTACTCATCTGGACAATTGGAGCAGGAGGAAAAGTTTTCACAGTCTTTTGTTACTGTTTGTATTTTTAAAGATATGAACAGCTTAAAATATAAATTTAAAATAATTTAAAAAATGAAAGTACTCATAACAATTATTTGCCATGTAATTTTCAAACTTTATATCAATTAACAACCTAAATGGCATTCAAAGTATGTTGTGTGTCAAAGGGAAGAACATTTCAATACCGTTATTGATGATACACTTCTCAATTTCTGTAAGTTCCTCTTTGAAAGTAATAAAGTATTTGTATAGGGCCCACATGAAAGCCTGGTAAGTTCGAAAGGGAGCTTCCGTTAGCTTCTTAAGGATGGATCCATTCCCAGGAAGCGTATGCTCGGAGCTGTGCCCCATGACTTCATCGATGAACTCCTGGAGTCGGAACACAACCTGGCCATACGCTGCTATCTGCTCCAGCACTGATCGCAAACAGCTCTGTGGTCAGATGAAATGAGAATTAAAAACTGCAATTATTAAAGTCAGTCTCTGTAAGTACTCAAATTCATATCCCCCTCACTGTAAAATATTTCTTTCATGACTGTTTTGAAGACTATGCTGAGGAGATGACAAACTAATAAAGCAAATATTTAGACTCAAAGGATACTGTGAGCATTAATTTCTACAGAATATAGAATTATGGCTTCTACTTTTTAAAAACACATTTCTGGTAAATGCACTACAGGCAACAACAACAACAAAATTACAGTATGCAGCTTTCCCAATACACAATGACGAATAAAAAAGAGAAAACACAAATTAAAACTAAATGTAATATCACAAACAATACTAAAGAATTCTCTAAGCACTGTTAAGGTGTACAACCTAATTTGCCTTTTAGATCTTAAATATATTTAGTAGTTATTTTTAATAATGAAAAATGTTCTAGTTATATAAAGATGAGCTAAATAAATCCTATCATTTAATTGAAACTATAATAAATACAAATCACTTACATGTGTCAAATGGGTCACTATTACATTGTTTCTCACATTTACCTTCCCATCTATCAACTGAAATATAAAGAGCTTTTTGACCCCTGAAAGTAACCTGAAATGAAATAAAAAAATGAGTGTATTTTAGTCTAGAAAAATATTCACTCCTGCAGGGTGGGGAACCTTCCTTCTGCCAGGAGCCAGTTCAATATTTATAACATCATTTTCGGCCATATGTAATTACCAACTTAAACATTAGCCTGTTCTATTTGGTCAAATATTTATTTTTTTAAATTTAATTTTTATTTTTTTATATATATTTTATTGATTTTTTTACAGAGAGGGAGAGGGATAGAGAGTTGGAAACACAGATGAGAAAGAAACATCAATCAGCTGCCTCTGGCACACTCCCTACTGGGGATGTGCCCGCAACCAAGGTACATGTCCTTGACCAGAATTGAACCTGGGACCCTTGAGTCCTCAAGCCGACACTCTATCAGCTGAGCTAAACCGGTTAGGGCTGGTCAAACATTTAATTAGCTCTCCCCTAATGCCTAGGTGGGGCCGGAGGGAATGATTTCTCAGGCCTTATGTGGCCTGCAGACAAGATGTTCCCCAGCCCTGCGCTACAGTAGTGATAAGACATTTTAACAAAAGACTCAAAATTGAGCAGTTGAGGCAGAGGTCAGATAACTGGAAAACAGAACACATTAATCTCTTAATCCGATTACCTTATCACTCAAGATAATCTCAATATTATCTTAGAGAGAAGTTCAAAACTGGTTTTTTTTAATCTTTTTTTTTAAAATTAAATCTTTATTGTTCAGATTATTACAGTTGTTCCTCTTTTTTACCCCTATAACTCCCCTCCACCCAGTTCCAACCCCACCCTCCTCCCTCACTCCCCACCCACTGTCCTCATCCATAGGTGCACGATTTTTGTCCAGTCTCTTCCCGCATCCCCCTCACCCCTTCCCCCCCCCCACAAGAATTGTCAGTCCACTCCCTTTCTATGCCCCTGATTCTATTATAATCACCAGTTCATCAGATTACTCACTTGATTTTCAGATTCACTTGTTGATAGATGCATATTTGTTGTTCATAATTTGTATCTTTACCTTTTTCTTCTTCCTCTTCTTAAAGGATACCTTTCAGCATTTCATATAATACTGGTTTGGTGGTGAACTCCTTTAGCTTTTTCTTATCTGTGAAGCTCTTTATCTGGCCTTCACTTCTGAATGATTGCTTTGCTGGATAAAGTAATCTTGGTTGTAGGTTCTTGGCATTCATCACTTTGAATATTTCTTGCCACTCCCTTCTGGCCTGCAAAGTTTCTGTTGAGAAATCAGCTGACAGTCGTATGGGTATTCCCTTGTAGGTAGCTGAGTTTATTTCTCTTGCTGCTTTTAAGATTCTCTCTTTGTCTTTTGCTCTTGGCATTTTAATTATGATGTGTCTTGCTGAAACCGGTTTGGCTCAGTGAACAGAGCGTCGGCCTGAGGACTGAAAGGTCCCAGGTTCGATTCCGGTCAAGGGCATTCACCTTGGTTGCAGGCACATCCCCAGTGGGGAGTGTGCAGGAGGCAGCTGATCGATGTCTCTCTCTCTCATCGATGTTTCTGACTCTCTATCTCTCTCCCTTCCTCTCTGTAAAAAATCAATAAAATATATTAAAAAAAAAATTATGATGTGTCTTGGTGTGGTCCTCTTTGGATTCCTTTTGTTTGGGGTTCTCTGCGCTTCCTGGACTTGTAATTCTATTTCTTTCACCAGGTAGGGGAAGTTTTCTGTCATTATTTCTTCAAAAAGGTTTTCAATATCTTGCTCTCTCTCTCCTTCTGGCACCCCTATAATTCGGATGTTGGTATGCTTGAAGCTGTCCCAGAGGCTCCTTACACTATCTTCGTATTTTCGGATTCTTTTTTCATTTTGCTTTTCTGGTTGGGTGTTTTTTGCTTCTTCGTATTTCAAATCTTTGACTTGATTCTTGGGATCCTCTAGTCTGCCGTTGGAACTCTGCATAATATCCTTTATTTCAGTCAGTGTATGCTTAATTTCTAGTTGGTCCTTTTTCATAACCTCAAGGGTCTCACTAGATTTCTTGAGGGTCTCACTACATTTACCGGTGGTCTCTCACCAGACTTTTGGAGGGTCTTACTAAATTTATCGGCGGTTTCTAGAAAGCTCTTGAAAAACCTTAAAAGTGTGGTTTTGAACTCTATATCCAGTAGTTTGCTTTCCTCTATTTCTGTCATTTGTGACCTGTTTCTTTGTCTCTGTATTTTTAACGCTTCCCTGTGTTGGTAGAGTGGCTTTGTGTGCTAGGTGTCCTATAGGGACCAGTGGCTCAGCCTCTCCAATTACCTGAGGGGGACACTCTTGGTGAACCCCTTTGAGGGCTTTGTACATAGTCTTCTTGTAGTTAAGCGTTGATTGTTGTAGGTCTCACAGTGAGGAATTGGCCTCCAGGCCAATTGGCTGTGAGAGTCAGCTGTGTCTACGGTGGGAGAACTTCTGTGCTGAAGACACCCTTATGAGGCAAAACTTGCTTCAGTGGGGCTTTGGTGCTCACTGAGTCTGCCCCCTGAGTGTGTACCTTATGGATCTGAGGAGTTGTAATCTGGATGGTCCCACTCTGACCACTGGGTACACTGGCTCTTGGATCTAAGGAGGTGCTAATTTAGCCTGTGCCTGAGGCTACCCAGCAGGAGCGACGGAGAGATCTGCAGATTCCCCTTCCTTGTTTGGGGTTTGGAGGTGCCCAAATGAGGTCTAGCTGTGAAGCAATGCAAGCTGCTGTGGGGCCTTGGGCATTCTCTTGGAAGTTCTGGGTCTGACTGGCCCAGCTGCAGTTTGTTAGGAAATTTTAGATTGCAAAGGGCCAGGTCATTCACATGCAAAAGCCTCTGCCGCAGCTTGGGTGGGGCGGGGTCTCAGGGAATGAACAGGGTGGAGCATGCAGCTATGGCTGATCCTCAGCCCTGCCCTATGGGGCCCCGCATCTCAGTGTCCGGGAATCGCTGCAAACACCTCTGAGAGAAAGCCACCCTCGAGTTCCGAGTTCTGCCCGCTGCCGGACAGTCCAGTTTCTCCCTGTATGAGTCTGGGTCCCCAGAGACTCACCCGGAACTGGAGTTCAGAGCAGTCAGGGGCTTGTGACTCCCTCCCGATTTAAAAAGACAGCCGCATCCTAGTTGCCAGTCCTTGCCGGGTGTGCCTCCGTACCTCTGCACTTTCCTTCCACACCTCCTCTGAGTCTCAGTGTGCTTTTCTCTTTCCTTCTAGTTGTAGAATTTCCACTCAGCCATCCTTCCTGTGGTTCTGGATGATATCCGTTTTGTCTGTTAGTTGTATTTTTGTATTTGTTGTGGGAGGCAGCAATTTCCGGTGTTTACCTATGCCGCCATCTTGGTTTCTCAAAACAGTATTATCAAAGCCTTTCCTCCCAGAGGAGATGGTCCAACAACTATTCCTGCTTTTATTTAATTTTTATTTTTTTAATTAAATCTTTATTGTTCAGATTATTACATTAGTGAATCTTTTTTCCCACCATAACTCCCCTCCACCCAGTTCCCACCCCACCCTCCGCCCTCACTCCCCACCCACTGTCCTCATCCATAGGTGCACCATTTTTGTACAATCTCTTCCCTCACCCCACACCGCCCCCCCCCCCAGAATAGTCCATTCCCTTTCTATGCCCCTGATTCTATTACAATCGCCAGTTCATACTGTTCATCAGATTATTTATTCCCTTGATTTTTAGATTCACTTGTTAATAGATGTGTATTTGTTGTTCATAATTTGTATCTTTACCTTTTTCTTCTTCTTCCTCTTCTTAAAGGATACCTTTCAGCATTTCATATAATACTGGTTTGGTGGTGATGAACTCCTTTAGCTTTTTCTTATCTGTGAAGCTCTTTATCTGGCCTTCACTTCTGAATGATAGTTTTTCTGGATAAAGTAGTCTTGGTTGTAGGTTCTTGGCATTCATCACTTTGAATATTTCTTGCCACTCCCTTCTGGCCTGCAAAGTTTCTGTTGAGAAATCAGCTGACAGTTGTATGGGTATTCCCTTGTAGGTAACTGAGTTTCTTTCTCTTGCTGCTTTTAAGATTCTCTCTTTGTCTTTTGCTCTTGGCATTTTAATTATGATGTGTCTTGGTGTGGTCCTCTTTGGATTCCTTTTGTTTGGGGTTCTCTGCGCTTCCTGGACTTGTAATTCTATTTCTTTCACCAGGTAGGGGAAGTTCTCTGTCATTATTTCTTCAAATAGGTTTTCAATATCTTGCTCTCTCTCATCATCTGGCACCCCTATAATTCGGATGTTGGTACGCTCGAAGCTGTCCCAGAGGCTCCTTACACTATCTTCGTATTTTTGGATTCTTTTTTCATTTTGCTTTTCCGGTTGGGTGTTTTTTGTTTCTTCATATTTCAAATCTTTGACTTGATTCTTGCGATCCTCTGGTCTGTTGTTGGGAGTCTGTATAATGTTCTTTATTTCAGTCAGTGTATGCTTAATTTCTAGTTGGTCCTTTATCACAACATCGAGGGTCTCATTAGATTTCTTGAGGATCTCACTACATTTATCGGCGGTCTCACCAGTCTTCTTGAAAATCTCACTACATTTATCGGCAGTCTCACCAGTCTTTTTGAGGGCCTTATTAAGTTTATTGGTGGCTTCTAGACAGTTCTTTAAAGACCTTAAATGTGTGGTTTTGAACTCTATATCCAGCAGTTTGCTTTCCTCCAATTCTGTCATTTGTGTCCTGTTTCTTTGTCTCGGCATTTTTTCTGCTTCGCTGTGTCGATAGAGTTCCTTTCTGTGCTAAGTGTACCAATTACCTGAGGTAGACACTCTTGGTGCACCCCCTTGTGGGCTTTGTGCACAGTCTTGTTGTAATTAAGCCTTGATTGTTGTAGTTATCACTGTGAGGAATTGACCTCTAGGCCAATTGGCTGTGAGAATCAGCTGTGTCTGCAGTGGGAGAACTTCTGTGCTGGAGACACCCCTCTGGGGCTAGACTTGCTTCAATGGGGCTTTGGTGCTCACTGAGTCTTCCCCCTGAGTGTGTCTTTTATGGTTCCACAGAGCTGCAAACTGGATGGTCCCACTCTGACCTCTGGGCTTCCTGGCTCCTGGATCTCTAGGGAGGTGCTAATCTAGCCTTTGCCTGAGGCTATCCAGCAAAAGTCTCCCTGCAGGGCTTGGGCGGGGCGGGTCCCACAGGATCAACAGGGTGGGGTTAGCAATTATGGCTGCTCTCAGTCTTGCCCTCAGAGGCTCTGCTTCTCAGTGTCCCAGTAATTGCTGCAAGCCCCACGGAGAGAAAGCTGCCCTAGGGTTCTGAGCGATGCCAGACACTCCCGCTTCTCCCGTATGAGTCTGGATCCCTAGAGACTCGCCCGGAGCTGGAGCTCAGAGTCTGAGACTCCCTCCCGATTGAAAACAACAACCACGCCCTCAGCCGCCAGCCCGCTCCGCATGCACTCCGCACCTTAGTATTTTACTTCAGCACTGCGCCTCCTCTGAGTCTCGGTATGCTTTTCTCTTTCCTCCTGGTTGTAGAATTTCCACTCAGCCAGCCTTCCTGTGGTTCTGGATGATGTCCGTTCCGTCTTTTAGTTGTATTTTTGAAGTGGTTGTTCGAGGCAGCAAACTCCGGTGTTTACCTATGCCGCCATCTTGGTTTCTCCCCTATAATTTTTGAGCTCTTCCTGCTTTTAGAAGGTCAACATTACCCGTTCTGCAGAAGGGACCAGAACTGGAGATCTCTGTAGTGACAACCGCTACATGCTGAGCTTTTCATCTCCATTTTGTGTGACACAATCTGATTTCTTAGATTCCTGGTTCGCAGGTATGAGGCACAGGCTAACTTTCACTGATATACTCTGCCTATTACAAGCGGTAAGCAGCAAACTAGCAACCTTGCTTTGAACTCAGATATTAGAAAAGTGATAGCTTAACCTAATGAAATCAGATAGTAAGCTATTCAAAATAAAAAAGAAGTAAATACATCAAAACCGTCATCTCCATGGCTGAAAATGCAGTGCGGGCTTCCTCAGTTCAGGTGGTCACTGGGGACTCTTTAGGATTCATATCGAATGGCCTGTTTCTAAGTAACAGATGAAAAAATCCTGAACACTTTTCTTTAAAAATGAACATTTTGCTTCTCACTAATAAAGTCTTCTATTAACTGGGTGAACAGGACTCACCATAGGGTTTCCCGAATAACCTGTGTCTCAGTAACAAAAACTCTGTCACCTGGAACATATAACGGGTCACTGCTGTACAAGTGCTGGTCCCTATTAGAAAGCAAACAGCAAATGTTAATGAAAAAGTTTCTCATTTAATAAAACTACCTCTCAAAGAATATATGAAATTTAGAGGTAATTTAACCAGTGATCAATAAACAAGTAAACATGATACAAACTGTAAATGCCCTCCCATATTCATTTTCACAAATCAACTAAAATACTCCTGAAAAAGCACTTTCAGAGCAATCCCAATTGTTATGTTTATTGCTGATTGTATAGGGCCCACATGAATATTTAAAGTATATATCATTTGTGGGTTTTTTTGGTCAAAATGGCAATCGTACTTTTATTGACATAAAAGTGTTTTAAAAAATTTATTTTCCAAAAGAATTTGGAAAAGCCTAAACTTTTTATTTCACCAGCCAGCCTGATGCTGCAATTTAAAATCTTCAAGGTCCACACAAATAGCGTTCAGACTTCCTTCTTCCAGGGAACAGAGGGAGCAGAGGTCAGCCTCAGGCTATGTGCTAATAGAACATTTCTCTGCTAGTCTGTTACACAGGCACTAGCCAAGCTTCTTCTTTTTGAATTCACTGTTATTTATTTTATTCATAAATCTATTTATTTATATACCTCACCTGAGGACATGCTTAGAGAGAGGAAGGGGAGGGGCGGGGGGGGGGGGAGAGGGAGGGAGGGAGGGAGGGAGAGAGAGAGAGAGAGAGAGAGAGAGAGAGAGAGAAAGAGAGAGAGAAACATCAATTGGCTGCCTCCTGCATGCACACTGACTAGAGATTGAGCCCACAACCTGGGCACATGTGCCTTGACCGGAAATGGAACCTGTGACCTTTCAGTGCATGGGATGATGCTCAACCAACTGAGCCACACCAGCTAGGGCTGGCCATACTTCTTATTCAGCCAGAGAATGGATTTCTGTCTCAGTGAATGGCAAGAAGATGTACAAACCTGTGGTGAGAGTGTCTGGGTCTCCCTCAGGGTAAGCTGGATATTTGTGATTGAGGGTGTTGCACATGATCAGGGTGAATTAAGCTCTATAAAAAACTCCTCTCTCCCTTAGTGGTAATGAACTGCTCCAGGAATCCAGGAAGGCCCACACCTACACCTCTTCCACACATGGCCAGCTCCTCGTGCACAGCTACATGGGAAGCACAAAACGCTTTGCGGACTCTTTTTGAAGGAGGACCTTGGGAAAGTCGTGCGATGGATTTTCTCACCAGCAAAAACTATGTTTCTACACAAACACTGAGACACACATGCATGTCTATTTTCAAGAAAATTTTCTTTTCTATGACCACAGACTCTCAGAATGCAGCCACCCCCAGGCTGAGACAGTCTAGCCACTGCACAGAACTGGCGCAGCAACACATATAAGGCTTCTGTGCTGTCTCACAAACACAGAAGGCAGGGGAAAAGGGTGGCTACTCAAGGGGGATTGGCTTTTTGTCTGAAATCTAATCTAATTGGCCACACTGTTAGGTCCAGGTTCTCCCCAGCTCCCTGGGGCAAGAGGGAGTGACTGAGTGGGGACAAGAAGCATTTCTCACAAAGTCTCTGTGGGCACGGCTTCTCAAAGCCCTGCAAAAGCCTGGTGCAGCAGAGCAAGGGGCAGTGCTGACAGCGGCCCGGAAGCGAGCACTGTGTCGGCAGAACATCAGTCCAAGGAGCTGAGGGTACAACAGCCCCATTCTTATCATCAAAGAAAAAGACTTCACTCTGCTGAGGGAGCCAAGCCAGTGAGGCAGGAAGGTAGCCAGAGGCAGTACAGCCCCCCTGTTATGCTGGCTCAGGGGGTATCCCAGAGTAAAATCCTACTGCCCTCACTGCATGGAAGAAATACAGAGTCCTTTGGGAGAGGCAGCAACACAGATGATATGCCCAGAGTAAGCTGGGTATGAATTCAGTGCCATCTGCTGAGCGAGGTCCCAAGCCTTGATACAGAAGTCTTCGCGACCCCTGACAGTGTGTGTGCCAGAGTACAGTCACAGCAGCACGGTGCCATTGTGCTCCTGCTTGCAGAACTTGTTGACAGTGAGTGTCTCATTCTCATCCAGCTCCCACAATTCAATAAACAGCATCTGATTGGAAGCCACTAGAATCCAGGTGAGGTCAGTCACTGGCCTCTGAGTGCACTGCAGTGGAGAAGCCTTCACTGGGGCAGCAGAAGGGCCTTGAAAAGCTGGAGGGAGCCAGCCTAGCAGTAGCCACTCAGGCTGGGGCCTCGGGCAGGAGTGCCTCATCTGACCAGTACCACCCAGACTCCAACTGCCACTTGGTATAGATGGGTGTGTTAGGGAGAAGGTTCCAGGGGACGTGAGGGAAGGTGGGGTTTCTTCTGCATCTTTACTGTGCCAATTCCAACCTAGACCCAAACTAGATATCAAGAGAGATTCAACTCTGGTAGTCCATAACCAAAATTTCTCCTATTAGCACATTACATGAAAAATCGAGCTTCTTACCAGACAGCAGCTAAATTGGAGTGCAAATGCAAACTATGAGGAAACGTCGAGGATTGAGCTGTCCAGTACTGATGGACCACATGCTGCTCCAGCCAGCTTCGGGCATCTGGCTCATCCACTAAAGGAAATTTAACATATTTAAGTTATGAGTTAACAAAAAAACCCACTTGATCAACTTTGCCACAATATCTGAACTTACGAGTCCCTTCAAATATTCAACAGAAAAAGGCTCTTTAAAATAACAGCTACCACCCTGGCTGTTGAGATTGCAGGCTCAATTCCAGGTCAGAGCACATACCTAGGCTGTGGGTTCAATCCCAATAGACAAGGTGCATATGGGAGGCAACTGATGAATGTTTCTCTCTTTCTCTCTCTCTCTCTCCTCTCTCCCCTCCCCTCCCCACCTCCCTCTCCTTTCTTCTCTCTCTAAAATCAATAAAACATATCCTCGGGCGACAAAAAGAGCAGCTACCTGACATTTGTATATATAACCATTTATTTAAAACCATATATATTAAAACATAGCTAACCCAAGTTCAGGTCAAGATGGTGGAGTAGGTGTAAACACTGCGCTTAATCTCCTCCCACAACCACATCAAAATTACAACGAAACTTAACAGAACAGCCATCATTGAGAACTGCCTGACATCTAGATCAGTGGTTCTTAACCTTCCTAATGCCGCGACCCTTTAATACAGTTCCTCATGTTGTGGTGACCCCCAACCATAAAATTATTTTCGTTGCTACTTCATAACTGTAATTTTGCTACTCTTATGAATCGTAATGTAAATATCTGATATGCAGGATGTATTTTCATGGTTACAAATTGAACATAATTAAAGCATAGTGATTAATCACAAAAACAATGTGTAATTATATATGTGTTTTCCGATGGTCTTAGGTGACCCCTGTGAAAGGGTCGTTTGACCCCCAAAGGGGTTGCGACCCACAGGTTGAGAACCGTTAGTCTAGATGAACAGAAGTCCTATAGAAAGAAGAAGTCACATCAAGACTGGCAAGAGCAGCAGAGACATGAAACCCATGTGTGGCAGCTGAAAATCATGGGATATCTCAGAGGCAGAGCTACCCCTGAGTTTAAGGAGTTCCAGCCCCACACCAGGCTCCCCAGCCCAGGGTTCCCACGCCAGGAAGAGGAGACCTCACCATGTGTGGCTATGAAGACCAGCGGGGATTCTGTCCATCCAGTTGAGACAGGAGCCTGCTAGAATCCAAGGCACCCACTTAAAGAACCTATGCATAGACTCATTTGCCAAGATACAGAAGCACTCTAAGTGTCCACTGATAGACAACTGGATAAAGAAGTGGTACAGATCTATACAACGAAATAGTTCTCAGCCATAAAAAAAGAATGAAATCTTACCATTTTTGACAACATGGGTGGGCCTTAAAGGCAATATGCTAAATGAAGAAAGTCATACAAATACCATATGATTTCACTTATATGTAGAATCTAGAAAACAAGGTAAATGAACAAAACAAAAAATAGACTCATGGATAGAAAACAGGGTGATGGTAGCCAGATGGGAAGGGATTAAGACGTAGAAATTAGCAGTTACAAAATAGTCACGGGGATTGTAAAGCACAGCATGGGAAATATAGTAAAAAATATTGTATTGACTATGTATGGTGTGAGATGTGTTCAAAACTTATGAGGGACAGATTCTAAAATGGCAGCAGAGTAAGTGGATGCTCATGGACACAAAGCCAGGACCAAACTAGAAATACAACTAAAATATAGAAAAACTTCCTGAGTAACCAACTGAAGACCAGTTGGAGAGAACCCTGATAACCGAGGACGGAAAGTGGAGACACACAGAGACTGGCAGGAGGGGCGGAGGCACGAAAGGGCTGGCCGGCCGCCCACAGACAGCAGCTGAAGGTCTGGAGAGATCTCAGCTGGGGGAGGGGTTGCCACTGAGAACTCTGGGGTCTAATCCCCAAGCTGGGCCCCCCAGTAGAGAGCACCAGAACTGAGAAAGGTGCTCACATAACATCTGGCTGTGAAAAGCAGCAGGGTTGCTGTGTGCCAGGGAGAGACGGCTGGAAATGCAGGGACCTTCTTAAAGGGCCAGTGCACAAAATTCCATGTGCAGCCACTCACTGTGTTTTCTGGCAGAAGGAGGACAGAGTTGACTGGAGCTGAATGAGCAGAAGCCAGGATCAGGGGCTCTGGGGTTAGAGTTCAGAAGGCAGACACCCCGGTTTCCTGTGCTGAATCATTGCCTCACACTGCAGAGGACACCTTTCTCTGGTGACCTTTGCTACCCAGGCAGTTTTTGCCTGGGGGGTGGTGGTGGGTGGGAAGGTACTTGCCCCACCTATTGGAAAACCCTTTGCCCCAACCGGTGGAGTTTCTTTTTTTAAAAAAAATTAAATCTTTATTGTTCAGATTATTACATTTGTTCCTCTTTTTTCCCCCCCATAACTACCCTCCTCCCAGTTCCCACCCCACCCTCCGCCCTCACTCCCCACCCACTGTCCTCATCCATAGGTGCAGGATTTTTGTCTAGTCTCTTCCCCCATCCCCCACACCCCTTTCTCCCCAAGAATAGTCAGTCCACTCCCTTTTTATGCCCCTGATTCTATTATAATCACCAGTTCATTCTGTTCATCAGATTATTCACTTGATTTTCAGATTCACTTGTTGATAGATGCGTATTTGTTGTTCATAATTTGTATCTTTACCTTTTTCTTCTTCTTCCTCTTCTTAAAGGATACCTTTCAGCATTTCATATAATATTGGTTTCGTGGTGAAGAACTCCTTTAGCTTTTTCTTATCTGTGAAGCTCTTTATCTGACCTTCAATTCTGAATGATAGCTTTGCTGGATAAAGTAATCTTGGTTGTAGGTTCTTGGCATTCATCACTTTGAATATTTCTTGCCACTCCCTTCTGGCCTGCAAAGTTTCTGTTGAGAAATCAGCTGACAGTCGTATGGGTATTCCCTTGTAGGTAGCTGAGTTTATTTCTCTTGCTGCTTTTAAGATTCTCTCTTTGTCTTTTGCTCTTGGCATTTTAATTATGATGTGTCTTGCTGAAACCGGTTTGGCTCAGTGAACAGAGCGTCGGCCTGAGGACTGAAAGGTCCCAGGTTCGATTCCGGTCAAGGGCATTCACCTTGGTTGCAGGCACATCCCCAGTGGGGAGTGTGCAGGAGGCAGCTGATCGATGTCTCTCTCTCTCATCGATGTTTCTGACTCTCTATCTCTCTCCCTTCCTCTCTGTAAAAAATCAATAAAATATATTTAAAAAAAAATTATGATGTGTCTTGGTGTGGTCCTCTTTGGATTCCTTTTGTTTGGGGTTCTCTGCGCTTCCTGGACTTGTAATTCTATTTCTTTCACCAGGTAGGGGAAGTTTTCTGTCATTATTTCTTCAAAAAGGTTTTCAATATCTTGCTCTCTCTCTTCTTCTGGCACCCCTATAATTCGGATGTTGGTATGCTTGAAGCTGTCCCAGAGGCTCCTTACACTATCTTCGTATTTTCGGATTCTTTTTTCATTTTGCTTTTCCGGTTGTTTTTTGCTTCTTCGTATTTCAAATCTTTGACTTGAATCTTGCGATCCTCTGGTCTGCTGTTGGGAGTCTGTATAATATTCTTTATTTCAGTCAGTGTATGCGTAATTTCTAGTTGGTTCTTTATCAGAACATCGAGGGTCTCATTAGATTTCTTGTACATCTCATTAAGTTTATCGGCCATCTCTAGAAGACCCTTGAAGACCTCAAAAGTGTGGTTTTTTAATTCTATATTCAGCAGTCTGCTTTCCTCCATTTCTGTCATTTGTGTCCTGTTTCTTTGTCTCGGCATTTTTTATGCTTCGCTGTGTCAACAGAGTGGCTTTCTGTGCTAAGTGTCCCAATTACCTCCTGTGGAGTTTCTGAGGCCCATTATGAGATTGAGAGTAACAATCAGCATGCAGGCAGAAGCAATTGCCCCACCCTGTGATCGACAGCCTAAGGTTAATCAAGACTGAATACAACCAGACTACAGGCCGAGGCAGGTATCTGAAGGATTTGAGTTTTTACCTGATCTGCTTCTGGACATGGGCTTGGGAAACCAGAACTTCATGTACATCTTGGTCCTTTCCAAAGGCACCCGGCCCCATCAGAGGGAGCCACAAGCTGAGGATTGCTGATAGCTCCAAACAGTATACTCAGGGTCAGTCAGAAACAGCATCTGACACTCTGGCCCTAAAGATTTGGAGGCGTAGCAGATGTACCTAATACACAGACACTAACCCAAACAGGCAGCCAAAATGGGGAGATAAAAAACAATCCCCAGCCCTGACCGGTTTGGCTCAGTGGACAGAGCGTCGGCCTGTGGACTCAAGGGTCCCAGGTTTGATTCCGGTCAAGGGCATGTGCCTTGGCTGCGGGCACATCCCCAGTGTGGGGTGTGCAGGAGGCAGCTGATCCATGTTTCTCTATCATCGATGTTTCTGACTCTCTGTCCCTCTCCCTTCCTCTCTGTAAAAAATCAATAAAATACATTAAAAAAAAACACACAAAACAATCCCCAAATGAAAGAACAAGAGAATCTTCCAGAAAAAGAGCTAAATGAAACGGAGATAAGAAATGTATCAGACATGGAGTTCAGAATAATGATGGCAAAGGTGCTCAACAGCATGAGAAAAGATATCGTAACTATGAAGAATGACATAGCACTAATAAAGAATAATTTACAGCCCTAACCGGTTTGGCTCAGTGGATAGAGCATCAGCCTGCGGACTCAAGGGTCCCAGGTTCAATTCCGGTCAAGGGCATGTACATTGGTTGCAGGCACATGCCCAGTGGGGAGTGTGCAGGAGGCAGCTGATCGATGTTTCTCTCTCATTGATGTTTCTAACTCTCTAACTCTCTCCCTTCCTCTCTGTAAAAATATCAATAAAATATATTTTAAAAAAAAGAATAATTTACAAGGATTCAACAGTAGAGCACTCTCAGATTCAAATCAATAATATGGAATATGAGGAACCAAAAAACACCCAATCAGAACATCAAAAAGAAAAAATACGAAGATAGTATAAGGAGCCTCTGGGACAACTTCAAGCATATCAATATTTGCATTAATAGGGGTGCCAGAAGTAGAAGGAGAGAGAGGTGGCGGAGGAGGAGGAGGAGGATGAGGAGGAGGAGAAAGAGAGAGAGAGAGAGAGAGAGAGAGAGAGAGAGAGAGAGAGAGAGAGAAAGAAAGAAAGATACTGAAAACATATTTCAAGAAATAATGACAGAAAACTTCCCCTACCTGGTAAAAGTCCAGGAAGCACAGAAAGTCCCAAACAAGAGGAACCTAAAAGAGACCCACACCAAGACACATCATAATTAAAATGCCAAGAGCAAAAGACAAAGAGAGAAGCAGTTAGTTACCTACAAGGGAGCTCCCATATGACTGTCAGCTGATTTCTCAACAGAAACTTTGCAGGCCAGAAGGGAATGGCAAGAAATATTCAAAGTGATGAATAGCAAGGACCTACAACCAAGATTACTCTACCCAGCAAAGCTATCATTCAGAACTGAAGGTCAGATAAAGAGCTTCACGGACAAGAAAAAGCTAAAGGACTCCATTACCACCAAACCAGTATTCCATGAAATGTTGAAGGGTACTGAAGAAGAAAGGAGAGAGAAAAAAGGAGAAGCAGCAGAAAAATAAAAATATGAACAATAAGATGACAATAAATACATATCTATCACCAATTGAATCTAAAAATCAAAATATATGAACAAAGAATCTAATGAAAAAAATAAACTGATGAATAAAATAGAACCAGAGGCATGGAAACATGGAATAGAATGACAAATTTCAGAGGGAAGAGGTTAGGGGAGTTTGGGAGAGATTAACCAAGACCTTATATGCGTACTAGAGGCCCGGTGCACAAAATTCGTGCACTCAGGGTGAGGGGGACCCTAAGCCCGGATTGCGAGAGGGCACCGGTGCACGATTGGGGCCGGGGAGGGACGTGGAAGGTTGGCGAGCAGGGGAGAGACCGTGGGAGGGCTCCAGGGCATGTCTGGCCAGTCTAGCTCAGTACTGATCAGCTGGGCCCCAGCAGCAAGCTAACCCACTGGTCAGAGCGTCTGCCCCTGGTGGTCAGTGCATGTCATAGCAAATAGTCAACTACCCCCTGGTGGTCTTCATAGCAAGCATGTCATAGCAAGTGATTCAGCGAACTTAGCATATCATTAGCATATTATGCTTTAATTGGTTGAAAGGATGACTGTACACAGCATATTAGGCTTTTATTATATAGGACTAGAGCAGTGATGGCGAACCTTTTGAGCTCAGTGTGTCAGCATTTTGAAAAACCCTAAGTTAACTCTGGTGCCGTGTCACATATAGAAATTTTTCGATATTTGCAACCATAGTAAAACAAAGATTTATATTTTTGATATTTATTTTATATATTTAAATGCCATTAAACAAAGAAAAATCAACCAAAAATATGAGTTCGTGTGTCACCTCTGACACGTGTGTCATAAGTTTGCCATCACTGGACTAGAGGCCTGGTGCACGAAATTTGTGCATGGGGGGTTTGTGTGTCCCTCAGCCCAGCCTGTACCCTCTCCAATCTGGGACATCCCTCTCACAATCCAGGACTGCTGGCTCCCAACCGCTCACCTGCTTGCCTGCCTGATTGCTCCTAACTGCTTCTGCCTGCTAGCCTGATCACCCCTAACCACTCTCCTGCCAGCCTGATTGATGCCTAACTGCTCCCCTGCTGGCCTGATTGCCCCAAACTACCCTCCCCTGCAGACCTGGTCTCCCCCAACTACCCTCCCCTGGAGGCCTGGTTCCCCCCAACTGCCTTTCCCTGTAGGCCTGGTCACCCCCAAATGCCCTCCCCTCCAGGCCTGGTTGCCCCCAACTGCCCTCCCTTGCTGGCCATCTTGTGGTGGCCATCTTGTGTCCACATGGGGGCCGCATCTTGTGTGTTGGAGTGATGGTCAATTTGTATATTACTGCTTTATTAGATAGGATTTGCACTACCTATGGACACAGACAATAAGGGTGATGAAGGCCTTGGACAGGGTGGGAACCAGGTGGAGTGGGGCAATGGGGAAAAAGGGAGACACTTGTAACACTCTCAACAATAAAGATTAAAAAAAAAACCCGTATGAGGGGGTCTCTGTACAAGTTCTATACATGTTCAACCACTATGCATACATCTGAAAATAATGACTGCCAACTGTAAGTTAAAAAATTGAAAAACAAAATTTTGAACAGCTAACTCAATCTAATAATGTAGTAAAAACAAACAGCATGGTCAAGAAATTATAGCTCAGGAATTCAAGGATGATTCACTATCAAAAAATCTATCGCCGAGGCCGGTTTGGCTCAGTGGATAGAGCGTCGGCCTGCGGACTGGGGGGTCCCGGGTTCGATTCCGGTCGAGGGCATGTGCCTGGGTTGCGGGCACATCCCCGGTGGGAGATGTGCAGGAAGCAGCTGATCGATGTTTCTCTCTCATAGATGTTTCTAGCTCTCTGTCCCTCTCCCTTCCTCTCTGTAAAAAATCAATAAAATATATATATAAAAAAAAATCTATCAATGCAATAGTAAAGTAAAAGAGAAAAAATATAGGATTCTCTCTCAAATAAAGAATAGCATTTAATAGAGTTCAATATCTGTTCATGATTAAAGATGCCTAGAAAAACAGAAATAGAAGAAAATTGTCTCAATTTGATAAAGGTCACATACCCAGAACATATAAGCCAAGCCCATTACACTTCATGAAGGAATTTCAGGTGCAACCCTCTTAAGGATGAAACCCACCCACATCCACTGCCCCTGCTTCCTCTGCAGACTACAGGGCTGGCCAGAAAAAAGACACTGTTAAGATGTCCTGAAGAAGACATAACATAAAAGAATCAGCAGGAGATAAAACTGTCAATATTTGCAGGTGGTTTGCACCGGTGGGATCCCTCAGCCTGGCCTGCTCCCTCTCCCAATCCAGACCCCTCAGGGCATGTAGTACTGGGCATGGGCACCGCGCTGCTCCCGCTCATCTTGGCCCTGCTGCGCCTGCTGCTGCTGCCGCCACTGGGTACTGTGCTAATGCAGAGGCAGGAGAGGCTCATGCTGCCGCAGCTGCGCTTGCCAACTGTGAGCCCAGCATCTGGCACCTGTCAGCTGAGTGGTGCTCCTGCTGTGGGAGTGCACTGACCACTCGGGGCTATAGTGATCAGCTATAGGGTTAAGCCTTGGACTGACCTGTTGGCAAAGCCACAAACAAGTCCCAGCTTTGAGGGCAGAGCCCTCTTAGCATAATTAGGCTTGATCTCCTGTCTCTCCCTAGATCCTACCTGGGAAGCTAATGGGCTGCAGGAGGTGCAGCAAGTGCTGCCAAAACAACTGGAACTCACAAGAACATTGCAACTATGGTGACCACTACCTTGTTTACCTCTGGCTATAAAATAAAGGCTCAGATTTTTTTTGTGTTCAGTGCCTGGTACATTGTGCCTTGTTGTGTTGTATTATGTGCCCTTAAATCAACGCAGCAGATCCAAGCAACAGCAGCCTCCTGAGCACCACACCCTCTGAGGATCAGTAGCTGTACGTGTAGCCTCCCCCGACCAGCCAGAAGAGCCACCACAACTGTGAACAGCACCCACCAGAGGAGCTGCTGCCAACTGAGGAACAGCTGCTACCGCAACTGCCCGAGGAGCAACCACAGCCCAACGAGCCACAGCCACCCAGGGAGCAGCCACTGAACGACTCAATGTCTAGATATGTCAGTGAGATCAAACAAGGGTACACAAAGAAACCCCCAAAGGAAAGAAAAGGAGGACTCACAAGAACAGCAGCTAAGTGATACAGAGGCATGCAAAATGACAGAAAAAGAATTAAGAATAAGGGTCCTAGAGTGCATAAACCTGATGGAGGAAAAAATCAACAACATATACAAGAAGCAAGAAGAAACACATGAAAAAATCAACTACTTATGCAAGAAGCAAGAAGAAACAGATGAAAAAATCAACAACTTAAGTAAGACCCAAGAAGAAATGAAGAGCGATATAGCTGCAATAAAAAACACCATTGAAAGTATCAACAGTAGACTAGGAGAAGCGGAGGACCGAATTAGCAAATTAGAAGACAGGGAAGCAACACACACCCAAACTGTACTGCAATTGGAGAAAAAAATTAAAAGACAGGAGGAGAGCCTAAGGGAGCTTTGGGACAACATGAAACAAAACAACGTACGAATAATAGGGGTGCCAGAACAACAGAAAGAGGAACAAGGATTAGAAAACCTATTCGAAGAAATAATATCAGAAAACTTCCCTGAGGTGGGGAAAAAAAATGTCACACAAGCCCAGAGAGTCCCAAACAAGGTGAACCCGAAAAGACCCACACCAAGACACATCATAATTACCATGGCAAATGTTCAGGACAAAGAGAAAATCTTACAGGCTGCAAGAGAGAGACGGAAAGTTACATACAAGGGATCTCCCATTAGATTATCAAATGATTTCTCAACAGAAACACATCAGGCCAGGAAAGAATGGACAGAAATTTACAAAGTGATGCAAAGCAAAGGACTGAATCCAAGAATACTCTATCCGGCAAGGCTATCATTCAAAATTGAAGGGGAAATAAGAAGCTTCACAGTCAAAAAAGGCTAAGGGAATTTATCACCACCAAGCCAGCAATGCAAGAAATGCTAAAGGGACTGGTAAAAAAGAAGAAACAAAAAGCTCAGAAAGGAAACAGCCACACACAAAAAAAGAAATGGCCACAAGCAAGTACCTTTCAATAATAACTTTAAACATAAACGGACTAAATGCTCCAACCAAAAGACATCGAGTGGGTGAATGGATAAAAAAACATGACCCATACATCTGTGTCTACAAGAGACTCACCTCATTAGAAGGGACTCACACAGACTGAAAGTGAAAGGATGGAAAACTATCTTTCAGGCAAATGGAAAGGAAAAGAAAGCTGGGGTAGCAATACTTATATTGGAGAAAATAGACCTCAGAGTGAAGGCCATGACAAGAGATAAGGAAGGCCACTTCATAATACTAAAGGGATCAATACAACAAGAAGATATAACCCTGGTAAACATATATGCACCCAATGCAGGAGCACCCAAATTCATAAAAAATCTCCTGGAAGATATCAAAGGAGAGATCGACAACAATCCAATCATAGTAGGGGACTTTAATACAACACTGACATCAATGGAGAAATCCTCTAGACAAACAGCAATGAAACAGCAATTCTAAATGACTCACTAGATAGATGGACTTAATTGATATCTTCAGAACGCTTCACCCCAAAGCAATGGAATA